GTCAAATTGATTAAATATCCTCTCTTTCATCCTATTTTGTCCTTCATGTTAATTAGTCTATAAATCTGTACACTAAACTTCATCTGATCCTTCTCGTTTATTCATCTCCTGCGCTATTATTTCCATTACATCAGTTCATATGAATTCCTACTGTCTTTCTTACATTTCATAAATAAATACTGTATAGACAGTCTATTTGCAGATATTCTATATATATGTTAGATGAACGTTAATGCTTTTAGTATTATTGTATATTCTTTCTATATAGCAGTTAAGTGTTTACTTAGCAGCAAGGTTCCCTATTTATTTAGAAGATGGGTATGTCTGTATTAGTAGCTAAGTTCCTTTCTAGTAAGCAGCTGATTTTCTATTTACAAGTAGTTAGGACTGTGTTTATGTAGATGAAGAATCCCCCATCTCTAGGAGCTCTATTCCTTTCCATCTATTAACTGTATAGATTTTTCATTTATCAGCTGCTTTTCACATGTTTATAAATTGAGTCTTAAGTGTCTTTCATAGTGAATCAATCCATTCTCTCTGTAACTTATAAGTTAGCCTTCAGTTTGTTATATATGGCAAAGTGTTCAAAATACATTTAATTTGAATGTGATCCATGCCTAATAATAACTTTGATACTACTTCTAAACATATTATGTACGTCTATTTTAGGCCTGAATTTTCTATAGCCAATGATTATTTGAATTTCATTAATATTCCTATATGCTCAGTTCATTTTGCAGGATATTAAATAGTAAAAAAGAATGTAGATTATGTATTTACAGCACTTCATGTTTTGTATATGTATAATAATATTAGCATCAGCAGTAATATATCATTACTGTATAAATTTTTAGTTTTTTTCTGGTCACTTAACATTTCAGATAGTTGACCAGAAATATTAGGCCTGGGTCAGATTCAACTAATGTCACATTCTTTGCCATCTTGATATACCCAAGAACTTCCAGTTCATTTAAGAGTTATTATTTTTAAGGTAGTTTTAATACAGAGACCAAGTAGCAAAATCTGTTTCATAAAAAAGTAACAGTGCAAAGAAGTGGTCATGCTTTGTGGGATATAGTGAGACAATTTTTTATATTTTAAATAGTTAACCATGACAAGAATATTGTCACTGATTATTGTTTTAAAGTGAAGTTTGGAGTTAACTAAGATATATATTACAGTATTTGTAGGTATATTACAGCATTAAGTTAGGTGTCTTTCACCATATAAGTTGTACTACTTTTGAAACATGAGTGTCAGAAGAAACTTTATAAAGTGTTATAGAGAATAAGTCACAATAACTTAGCTGAAATGAATAACCCCAACCTACACATGAAATGAGAGAGATGATGTTTTGATTCGTAATGATCTCTTAAATGTTGTAACAAGTTGTCACAGCTTGATAAGGCTCCAGGATGGACCAACACACCGTCACTTTCATATTTGTGGGTTGGGTTATTAATAGTGTTACGTTGTTTGAGCAAAATTTTAGAAAATGCATTTTAAATGATGTTTAAGTACGAAAGGAATTTATTAATAGAGGTGAATGTTATTATTAGGCATAATTAGTAGAGGTGAATTCTGATAAATAAAATTTATTAGAGTATGTAAAGATACAAAAGTAACATCTGGATAGGCAGGAATAGCCTCGTACGAGAGAGAGATATTTATTGAATATCACAATGAATGATACGATGCACATTAACCCCAGGACTTGCATTCGATTTACACGACAACTAGGTCATGAGCAAGAAAAAATAAATGATGAAAAATTGTTTTCTGCATGGAGCTCCATGTGGCTCCCTGAAGCTATATGCTGAGATAGTTACCATCTACTAGGTCCATCAGCTGTAGAGTTTTAGAGGCCTACCAAGGATTGGAGCCAGAACTAGGCCCACTCTGTGCCGCACAGGGAGCGGTGATATTTATTTTCACCACCTCACCAAGGAAGGCAACCAGAAAGTAATAGTAAAAAAAAACTATTGCTGGATTCAAAACAGATTGAAGCCTCAAAACTGGCTGAAAGAACTACCCTAACAATGTAAACAAAGATTGAATTCTCCCGAAACTAGTGCGAGCTTGTTTGCCCCACCTTCCCAACTTGTTTGAGGAGGGGATGGAGTTCACTGCCTGCCAGGGCATGAGCTCCCTGTTCTAGGACAGATGTAGACATCAACTTGATGACCTGGAAAGGAGGGAGGGAGATCAGGGGCCACCAGGGCTCACCCAGAAATTGGCATTTTATTACATTCAACACTGGTTTTCTGGGGAAAGCTTCTCCCAGAAGCTAAATACCCACAGGAAAGAAAGAAAACCTGGGAACATACGAGGGAGAAGGGAGCACCACAGTAGTCAGAATGAGAATGACACTCCCAGCAGAGAGAGACAACCCAAAGCCACACAAGAGCGCTGATGTCCAGGAACATTCACCATATAACAGGCCGCCAGAACCCTGCTCAACCTCCAAAACCTCCGTGCCCAAATATCAGCCCAGGACATGTTTGCAAACACTGCCAAAAGAGAGGCATACTTCCTAATATTATGGGTTGAGGATAGACTGCATACTAGCTAGACTAAATAAAATTGCAGACTTCCTGGGAAAGATGAACCTTGGAACAGGGGATCAAGAAAACAAGATGAACCCACAAGGTATCCACCAAAGCAGAATCAGAGGCACGAAGGTGGCAGTGGGAGAGCAACCAGTAGACACAACACATGGTACATCCCTGGCTGAACCAACAAAGTACCAAATATTACAAATGAGTTCAAACTAATTGTGAACAAATATTTTAGAGGCCAAATGCTCAAAATATTTTGTATTGATTTTTGTGTAATAATAAAGTTAAAAATTGTATTAATTAATACTGTAATATCCACAGGTATGTCAAATTTTCGTAACTATAAAGACTAGCAAAACACAATTTCCTTAAATATCTATAGTGAAAAAGTCATATGAGATAAGCTGTATTCATTTTAGGTAAGCAAAATATCACATGCAGTAAGCTGTTGTCAAATGGTTAAGAGGTTATTTTTAAGCAGTTCATGTTTTTGGTTATTGTGGTTTTTAAATGCCTAATATAAGTTTTGTAAATTTTATGTGAAGTAGATTCAATTAGATGTCTCGAGACAGTGATGATAATTTAAGGTTCATCTGTTTCATTATTCCGTAGTATATTAATTTGAAGCCTTAATTATTGCTTTCTCAAGTATATTGGTTATACAAATTTACTGGCAACTTCTCAACATTGTTTGTAGTTCATTAATGAAAATATTTTTTCCTTTAAAATTACAAGTAATTATATTGAAATTGTTAATAGTAAATAATCTGGTGATCTAATGCAAAATTCACTCATAACAAACAACAACTACAGATATCTTTATAAGCTTTATGATAAGCTGATGATTTATGATAATTTGCCTTTCTCGTTACGCTGTGTTTTGGATCTCAAAATAGGTATTGTGTATGTTATTGCATTTTGCCTTAAAATGTCTCATAAAATATTTCCGGGATATTAATTTTATTTAAATTATGGTTTGAGAGTATGGACAGAATTATAACTAATTATATCAAAATACATAACACATTTTTATTGTCATAAAATGTTTAGTTTAACCTATGATTAATGTTAGACTACAAAACATCACTATGAGTTATCAACCAAGAGAACATTTACTTATAATAATAAATTTGTCCAAAAAAAAAAGTGAGAAAATGAACAAAATATATTCCCATTCATTTTCAAATTTGTCTAAGATTGGTTTATACCTCTGTGATTGGAATAGATGGTATATAGTGTTGCAGGTTTTTACTAAATACTGAAGGGAATTAATAGTTCATTTTTAAAATACTTGAATTTTGTACTAGGAGATTTAAATCACTCATTAATTTATTGGGTATTTCTCTTTTAATTTTTAGTTATAATGCACGTAAGATTTATCAAACATTTATAAAGATATTTTTCATTTCAATTACATAATATCTTGACTTGGATTTGTGTCTCATCTGGTATAACATATTAGATTCTAATGCATTGTACACTGATTTAATATACAGTATTGTAATATTGTAATAAGAAGTTCATGGATAAGATAAATTCAAATACAGCATTGTATTTAAGATGTCAAACTTGTCAGTGGTCAATGTCCTTGGCTCGCAACCAAGGATCCTAGGTTTGATCTGCAGACAGAATAGTTGTAGGTAGGCATATTTCTTTTCACCTAGTGCTGCTGTTCACTTAGCGGTAAACAGGTACCTGATAGTTAGGCAACTGTTGTGGGGGTCATCAGCAGTTTGGTTCAGGGGACCTCAATATGCCTAACAGGTTTCCTATCTTCAGCTATAGGAAACCATAGGATGAATCTTTAAGACCACTCAACCAAAATAATAATACTGTAGTAATAATTAGGTTATGTATAAAATATAAATAAGTTAACAGTTTTCATACACCCAGATTTTTTTTGTGCTTAACAAATGTAAAAAAAGAAAATGGTTTTATAAGGATTTTTCATTAATATTGCTCTTATTGTCTTATATTAGTTAACTAAGAAGCTGTTCAGCAAAATGTGGGCACAACTCTTTATAAAATGACTGTGCAAGTCTCAGGACAGGTTTCTTGTAATTGGAATTTCTTGGGTAACATTACAATAATTTTCCTTAGGATCCCTATGCTAAGATTTACCAAATTAATATACTTGTCCATCCTTGGATAGTGAAATTATCAGACATATTTTGTTGGATTTGGTTGTTCCTCTTGCCTTGATGAAGAATAACGTTACACACTATATATTGGCCTCAATTGGCAAACTAGATTTTAAATTAATTTTTAAGATAAATAAAGTGGCCTCTATAATGTTTTCTATGCTATGTAGGTTTAAATATATGATATATGTTGACCAAACAGACCCAGCATCTGATGTCTGTAAAGCCTTACTTTGGTTGTAACAAGTAAACGTCTTGTAGGGTCAGGGTTCATAAGCTTATGTCTTCTTTCCTTCTGCAGACCCTCCCTGCAACTGAAGTAAGTGAGGAAACCATGGATGATAATCTTTAGTGACAGTGAGAGGACTTATCTATTCCCATATTATTTATAATGATTCCTGGTGTATGCATTTTGCACTTGATACATATTATCATTAATTTATTTCAATATCCTTGCAACTACCGTTTTACTCATCAGCTTTTCTGCCATTGCTATGCCAATATTTAAAGGAGCATGACAAGGTATAATATAAGAGGTTTGGGTTAAAGATTTGCACATTCAAACTGTAGAAAGTTGGACTAAGAAACTTCGGGAACAAGTCCTAACATTTAAGCCTCTCCTGGACAAGGTCTATTCTAATTTGCCGGTATAACAACTCCAGTGATGAGACAAATATACAGGTTATAGCTGCATGTCTTAGTTGATTTAATGAGAGTCTCAGTGACCATGGGTTATCCCAAGGGCCTCTAGGTATCTCTCTGGGCTTTAAATACCCCTTCTTAGTTAATTATTTTAGAGCCCCGGCTCGGGCTGGCTGTAGATTGCTGCCTTGTGCCACCATAATTGCATGTTCTTCTTGACTTGACCATTCATTCTGTGATACTGACAGACTTTACCTGAAACCTGCTACCTTTAGAGATGTCTGTCTCCTGGGCTGCCAGGTTTGCACATCCTCCCAACTCTTGGGCCACCCACTTCTCTAAAATATCTTGTCCAAGACTGTCCAAGACACCTAATATGTCATATTTCTCCACAGATATCTACAAATAAAAACGTATTAAAAACTTTCACACACACACAATATTGCAAATGTGAAAACATCACCAGCAGACAAAAAAAATCTAATTGAAACAAGTGAATGATGAAATCTTAACAGAAGTTTTATTAGTGATACTTTAAAGGCAAAATAGATTAAATTTTAAATAGCATTAAAACAAGAATAATTTGCTTTATAATACTTTTAATATAATATTAGCACATAATAATACAATCATTTGTAAATAATAATACTGTAGTGGTAATAATGATGATGATGATGATAATAATAATAATATTAATAATGTTATTCAGGTAAAAGTACATACATTCAAAATGAGTTACATACAGAATGTTGGATTTCTAGATAGAGCTAGTACATACATGTACTATGCCTATAGCCACCAATACACACAGCATTTCAGGCAAGATGTGGAAAAACACTTTGTCTAATACTTAAAACTAATCCTAAACAGTCATTATGTATATGGGTATAATTTCGTTGTTTTTGCGCTTTTTTGGTTTCTAAACATAAAAGTTTTTATTATATATCACCCCATGGTATTCCAAGAAAGTCAGTGGTAAAGTTCAACCTAAGAAAATAGTTGTGACAAAGACGATTAGAGGAAAAACGAGATCATTCATAGTCAGACAATGTCATGTCTCACTACAGACAAGTGTTAAAATGTAGGGAAAAACAAGTGTCTATAGACAGATTCTTAGTAAGACAAGCAAGCAGTGAGCCACAACCAGGTCCTAGTGGGTTGCCTGCAAAACATGAGAGAGAGAGAGAGAGAGAGTACCCCAGAAATGCCATCACTGCCGTAATAATAGAAGGGGACTGCCCTTCCAAACACCAACATCTCTTCTCCTCCACCCTTCCTCACCGTCTTCCATACGCCAACAAGAGTCCTTAATAAAGGTAAGATATACTTGTACATACTGTAGCACAAAATATAAGTAGTAGTATGTATAAAATGTATTTTTAAGTTAATATTTTGAAGGGTGTGGAACAGATTAATTCAATTCACATTATATCTTATGGGGAAAATTAGTTTTGGTTTTATATATATTTATTTATATATATATATATATATATACACACAAACACTAGAGCAGCAGGAGTTCATTTAAACATATTTGGTTAAATATGAAGGCATTGCTGGCATTGTTGATCTTATAGTGTAAGCTTTCTATGCTTCTAACCATTTTCTTAGTATCAGTATTAAGAAGAGCAATCAAGGCACCAAAATTCATGATAAAGAAACTAATAATTATTGAAAGATTTATTTTCTACAATTTTTTTCCCCTCTCTGCAACATCTTCCTGTAAAGAATGAATACATGATGTACAATTTTTTGTTAAATATACATGTGAAGGAGTTTAAGGAGAGTGGGGCGAGGTGATGGGGCAATCAAACAAAGGGTAAGGGGATAGGGCCAATCAAACATAAACATCGCGGGGCTAATATTTGGGCTTGGGGGTTTTGTGTTATAACATGGCGCTTGTGGTCTGTTATATGGTTAACATTCCTGGGCCCAGTTGGTCATGTGTGGCATTAAGTTATGTCACTTGGACTGGTGTGTCTTCTTCATCTTATGTGACTGCTGCCTCTTCTCCTCCCTGGTAAGTCCCTTTCTTGTTCTCTGTGATTAGATTAGCTTCTGAAACCCAGTGTTGACTGTAATGAAATGCACATTTCTGAAGGAGTCCTGGTTGTTCCCCCCCCCCCATTCCCCTTCCCTGTTTGTCAGCTCGTCGTGGGTTTGTTCATGTCCAGAACTGATTTTGGTAGAAGGCTGGAAGCCAGGGCTGGGCCGCCTAGTGGTGGTAATCGGTACTTATGAGTCTTGAGTGAATCCCTTGTTCCATGTGGCTTGGTGGTGGTTTGTTTGGCGTTGAAGTGGTTCGGCCACACTTTTCCCCACACTCCATCATGTCACATTTATACTGTAACAACTGTATTAAGAGTGATATAGTTGCTCCAAATTCTCAGAAGTTATATTGCATGCAATTGAATATTCCCATTGATCCCACATGAACTTGGGGATAAATTATTTGCGGAATTGTTGGGGAACATGTTGTACAGTCAGGTTCATTCTCGACTCACAATCGAGAATTCTGAGTCCAAATGAGGCTTCGTTTTCTGTCAACCCTCTAGTGGTCTGTAAAGCTGCTCTGTCTTTCTGGAGGCTTCCTGTAATGAGGTGGTTGTTTGTCACCTGGTCTCTGCACCTCTTTGAGGGGGCCATGTTCTGGTGTTGATTCCCAGTAGGCCTAACAGAGCTATCCATAGCTACTCTGACCTTTTAGTATGAAGCAATCTCAGGAACATAGCTTTAGGGAGTTACTGGGCTCCTCCAGAAATTGGCGTTTCATTACATTCAATACTGGATTTATATCAGATTGTTTGCAAATGATAACTTTATCATATGCCATAATCAAAAGGAAGAATTCATAATGAATTTTGTGTGAATCTTTATATAGTTTGATTGATAATTTGTTTAAATCCTGGCCATTATGTAATACAGTATTTGTGCCCACCAATAATTGTCATATAGTTATGACTGATGTGGAATTTTGCACTGATGATTGCTCTATTACCATGTTCAGAATGATAAATACATCATCAATAAATTTTCAGTGAATTTTATTTTTTTAATATAAACTTGAAAGATGTTTTATGATGGATTTGTACTTACCTAAATGTACTTTATGGCTATTTATGAAGATATTTCACTACACTACTTTCCTGGTAAGGTAAGTTACAAACCTTTATATGCATTATAGCGGATGTAGGCCTTCTGATTTTTTTCCTGGGGGGTGAGGGATTTGCTTGGGAGCTGATGGGTCAAATGAAATCCCTTATGGAACGAAATGGCCTCGCCTTATATAGTTCGTTCAAGCAAGGACACACTGCAATGCATTTATATTTAGGAATGTTTTACTAAGCCTGTGTTACACTATAAATTATACAAATTTTTAGGGAATTTGTAGCAAACTTGTATTTTCCTTGTGTGTGATTGGGTGGTTTGAATTTTTGTTACTCAAGCAGTTTAACTAGCATTTCTTTGATGGTAATATATGTCAGTTGAAGCCATGTTGTGCTGTAAGACGAGTGTGAGTACATCAAGCAAGGGTAAGTAAAATTTCCTTACCATAGGTAAGAAGGCTTAGTTATAAGAGAAATGCGAGTGTGGCTGTCATTGGAGTATGGTATTGGTATTAAAGATGTTTGACATTAAGAAGGCAAACTAAGATTATAAATATAATGAAGTAGTGGTGGAAAGAGAAATGACATTAAAACATTGATATCTAAGCTTGGGGATTTGGATAATGCTGTTTACCAACGATTTGCACAGCATTCTAGTATGGAGTTGCCTATTGGTGGTACATAGTAAGTCTGTAGCTGTAAGAACGTCAGAAACCATGGGCATAGGACTTTAATGCCAGTTTAGGGTGGCTACATTAATTTACTAGACATCATGACATAGTGCTATAAAGGCATTTTGCTGCTTAGATGTTGTCAAAACTAGCCTATGCTGTTAAAAAAGGTAAGTGACCAAATAATTTTTTTTTTTTTTTTTTGCATATTTATTATTTTATGCATATAAAATGTATATAATGTTTGTATGTCTGAATGTTTTGAAACATATTATATCACTTATTATAAGGAAAATTGTGGAAATTTGGTGATAAACACCCCTAGAAAAGGCAATTTTTGGAAACCAGAATTTCGTACAAATCCAGAATGGGTCCAAAGTGATGTGATCCCGATTTTGTAGGTGCCACTATTCTTGGTGGTGTGGGTGCAGTCACTTATGATAATATTGTTAATTTTGATTAATGGTTTCTAATCTCCAGAGCTACCAACTCTACATATCATGGATTACAGCGTTTAAATTCTTTTACAACAAAGTGCGCCTTCACAAACACTATGAGATATCTACCTTTTCTATTTTAAATTTTGTCGGCAAGTAGGCTCAGTTTCGAGTAAGCAACCATGGCTGATGCATGCGCATCTAGCTCCCGGTCTCCCATGGGGCGTGTGGTTGAAAAACAACTCTCTGAGAATGATATGAAGAACATATTGTTTCAAGAGGACTGTAATAGTGATGTTGATGACCCAACACCCGATGTTGACCTAACACAAGTATCAGATATAAGTGATACAGACATCGATGAGAATGATATAGGCAGCGTGTACAGTACAGGTATCTTGCCACCCCCACCGCACCGATGAAGGTCAACATCACTGCCAATATTATCACCACCTGTGCCAT